GGGATTGAGGCCCAAAGGTTGAGAACCAAGGCCTTAGAGTATATTCATTCCTGCCAGACAGGCCAGATATATCTCATCATCCTTTTGTTTTAACACCTCAATCTTGAGGTGAAACAATGCCTCTGCCTGATACAAGTAGAAACAGAATGCAAGTAGGAGCCATCATGTGCACAGACTGTTTCTTCGTCTCTCTTGGTTTTTGTGACCTTTGGAAGGACTGGCCCAAGCAGCCTCATTGTAGATATTTGAGACAGGGCTCCCTCTGCTAGGATTACAAGCAAGGGCCAGTGGTGAAGGGGCATTTTAAAAATTAAAATTGTGTGTGGGGTGATAGACATATGCGTAACAGGATCTATGGAGATCAGAGGGCAGCTTGCAAGAGTTTGTTTCTCTGCAGTGTAGGTTCCAGGGATTGAACTCAGGTCATCAGGTTTGGCAGCAAGCCCCTTGCCCTGTTGAGCTATATTTGTTTGTTTCAAATTGATTGCCTGTGGGTTTTAAGTTTTACCATGTTACAAAGATAGCAATCTATACAATTAAGATGACAATTTTTTTTTTGTTTTCCGAGACAGGGTTTCTCTGTATTGTTTTGGAGGCTGTCCTGGAACTCGTTCTGTACACCAGGCTAGTCTCGAACTCACAGAGATCCGCCTGCCTCTGCCTCCCAAGTGCTGGGATTAAAGGCGTGTGCCACCAACACCCGGCACCGTTCTTGATTTCATGGAATGAGGGAAGGGTGGGCAGCAAACTAGTTAGTTCTGCTTTTATTGTTTGAAGATGTGTTACTATCGCTGTCCTACTTGACAGTTTGGGCATATAGTTAAAATCCTCATCTGCAGATTTTGAAGATGTCTTCCTATTGCACTTATGACACTGACTTTCATAAATCTGAGGTTCTCTGATGTATTTCATGTAGGATTTTCTCTTTGGTTCCAAGATTATCTACTTTATATCATGACTCCATATAGGTCTGTTTTATCAATTCTTAAGGTGGCTACTTTCAGTTACCCTTGTGAGTTCTTTGAATTTGCAAACTGATTTCCCTTTGTCTTCTGTTTATAGGAGCCCTGCTGATAGTAAATCATGCTCAAGTTCCTTCATATTTACTATGTTCAACTTATAGACATCTTACTGTGTGTTGCTTGTCTTGGTCACCTCCTTATTACTGTGATAAAATATCCTCACAAAAGTAGCTGAAAGGAGTCAAGTGTTGGTGCTGCATGCCTTTAATCCCAGCACTCAGGAGGCAGAAGCAGGTGGATCTCTGTGAGTTTGAGACCAGCACAGTATTCAAAGCCACCACAGAGAAACCCTGTCTCCGGAAAAAAAAAGCTGAAAGGAATTTTATTTTGGGTTACAATTTCATAGTGACACAGCCTATGGTGATGCCAAGGATACAGCCAGCAGGAAGACTAACCTGAGTGTTTACCCTTGCAAAGGTCACAATACTTGGATACTTTTAAGTAATCCTATGTCTTATTGTGAGATTTCAGTTTGAGGGTCTGGATTTCCTGTTTCATTCTTTATTGTTGTCCTCAGCAGAAGGGATTAAAGGTGTAGTAGTTTTTAACCGTTGGCAGTCATTTGGCAATGTGTGGAGGCACTGTTGATTGTTACTTTTGAGGAGTGGTCAGTGCTCCTGGCACTTGTAGATTGTTGTTAGCCATGCTGCAGAAAACTTAATAGGGCAGCCTGCCACAATACAGATCTGTGAGTTGGAGGCCAGCTTGGTCTACAGAGCCAGTTCCAGCACTTCTGAGTATGAGAAATTCCCTTTGTTGTTGTTTTTTCTTGTACTGCTGGCTTTCTCTCTCTCTCTCTTTTTTTTTTCGAGACAGGGTTTCTCTGTGGCTTTGGAGGCTGTCCTGGAACTCACTTTGTAGACCAGGCTGGCCTCCAACTCACAGAGATCTGCCTGCCTCTGCCTCTCAAGTGCTGGGATTAAAGGCGTGCGCCACCAACGCCCGGCTTGGCTTTCTCCTTTTAAGATTCAGCTTATTCCCACTTGGTCCTAGAGCCCTCCTGTCAACAGTTCTAAACCTACATCGATCCTCCTGTAGTTTCTGTGTATCAGCACAAAATCTGTCATGAATTTTCCATGTAACAGCCAGAGTCTTTGAACTAATTGTGTGGAACATGAACCTTCCCATTTCTACAGGAAATTTTATGTTGAGACAGGCTGATTTGGAACTGGGTTTAAGTGATTCTCCAGTAGTCTGTGACACTCAATGTTTTACTTCCTCAGGACATTTGAACTGCTCTTGACCTTGATGGTTGTGGGTTGTTAAAATGAAAAGGTCAGAAGGTCTTAGCTCATGTTAGCCCATGCTGACTTTGAATTTCTGATCTTGTGTCTCCATTTCACAACTGCTCAAATTACAGTCTTACATTACCACACCCAGCATATACAGTGTTAGGGATTAAGCCCAGGGCACACCATTTATGCTAGGTGAGCATTCTACCAACTGGGTTACATCTCCAGCCCCAGATTTATATTTTGGGTGTGAGCCTAGCCTTTAATGGCTGAGCCATCTTTCTAGCCCCAGCCCCAGTCCCAGATTTAAAGCACATAACAAAACAAAACTGAATTTCAGATGATACCTTTAGTGTGATTTGGTGCTGTTTTTGGATTGCTTTCAGTGTTGTTAGCACAACTGTACACAGTGAAGAGAGCCGATAATACAGTGTGGATGCCTGATCTCTTGAATCACAATTGGAAACTACACTCCTAGTTTATAGAGCTGCTAGACAGTCATGTAGCAAATTAATACTTTTTTTTTCTGTAATTGTATTTAGTGAGATTATTGTCTACACAAGGAAATAGGTGATATCCCTAACTTTTGTAGAATTTAGACTATTCAGGTATCAGCTTCACATTTTTCTTTTCTTTCTTTTTTTTTTTTTTTTTTTTTGTTTTATTTTGTTTTTTCAAGGTAGGGTTTCTCTATAGCTTTGGAGGCTGTCCTGGAACTAGCTAGCTCTTGTAGACCAGGCTGGTCTGGAACTCACAGAGATCCACCTGCCTCTGCCTCCCGAGTGCTGGGATTAAAGACGTGCACCACCAACACCCTGATCACATTTTTTTCTTACATTAATGGTAAAATGTGAGGGAAAGATGTAAAGATCTGGTACTATTCCCATGAACAAACCTCTACTCACCCTTGATCAGGAACCATGGTCAGACCAAAGCTAAGGACATTACCAAAGTCCATCTTGATGAGCACTGGCTCATTCAGTTTATATTTACTGGTTGTTTTAGTCAGTGTTCAGTTGCTCTGAAGAGACACCATGACCACAGAAACTTTTTTTTTTTTTTACGAGACAGGGTTTCTCTGTATTGTTTTGGAGGCTGTCGGACCAGCCCGGCCTTGAACTCAGAGATCCGCTTGCCTCTGCCTCCCGAGTGCTGGGATTAAAGGTGTGCGCCACCAATGCCCGGCCACAGCAACTCTTATAAAGGAAAGCATTTCATTAGGACTTACATTTTAGGCAGTGGTTCACAATCTTACCAATGTTGTGCTCATGTTGTGGTGACTCCAACCATAAACTTCCAGGCAGCAGAGCTTGTCTGAACATCTTCTGGATTACTCAGTTTGCATAAGAGGGAGGGAGTCAAAGAGATGGCTCAGAGGTTATGAGCACTTGCTGTTCTTCTAGAGTACCTGGGTTTTGATTCCCAACACCAATATGGCACCTCACAAGGCTGCAACTCTAGTTTCAGAAGATCTGACACATACTTGTCGCCTCCTTGGGCAGCTGGCAGCAGGCACACAGGGGGTTCGCAAACAAGCATTCAGACAACATCTATGCATTTAAAAAAAGTCAGCAGTTCTTATTGCTTATATGAGCTTGGGGAAGATGGGTTGCAGTGGCTGGTCAGTGTTAGTGTTTTATCTTGGAGGAAATTACCCACCAATGAATAGACATAAAAAATAAATAGGGTACTTGTGCATGTATTCTCATGCATGTGTGCTGTGTTTATATGCTTGTGCATATGTGTTTCTTAATCTTTGTAGTCAAAGGATGTTGTTGGAATTCTTTTTCCTCCTTAATTTGTTGAGTGAGGTCGAGTCTTTTGTTGAACCTAGAGCTTGCTGGTACAGCTTGTTTGTCTGGCCAGTCAGCTTCAGGGATTTCCATCTTTGCCTTCTAGGTGCTAGAATTATAGGCAGGCCACCACACCTACCTGGTACTTGATTCTGCCAAACTTGTTTGTCCTCACGCTTGAGATGTGGGTGCCTTAGACATTGAGCAATCTTCGTAGCTTGTGTACTTTATTTACTATGTCAGATAGGTTGGGACCAGTACCCTGAATACCTCACGTGACAATGACTGAAAATGCATGGAGAAAAGAATTTAGTTGATTTTTTTGGGGGGAGGGTCCTGCATCCCCTACCCCTAGATTCACTGTGTGGTTCCTGATTGGCTTAGAACTTACTATGTAGACAGGACAGACCTTAAACTCACAGAGATCTTTCTGCCTCAGTGTGGTAGTTTGAATGTAATTTGCCCCCTTAAACTCATAGGAAGTGGTCTTTTTGGAGTAGGTGTGACCTTGCTGGAAGAAGTATGTCACTGTGGAGACAGACTTTGAGGGTTTATGTATGCTTAAGCCATACTCAGTGTCCCAGATCACTTCCTATTGTCTGTGAGCCAAGATGTAAGAACTCTGGGCTTCTCCAGCACCATTATTTCCTGCCATGATGGTAATATACTAAACCTCTGAACTGTAAGCGAGCTACCACAATTAAATATTTTCCTTTATAAGAGTTGTTGTGGTCATAGTGTCTCTTCACAGCAATAGAAACCATAAAACACTTAACCTCCCAGGTTTTAGAATTAAATGTATAAGCCGTATTTTATACTTCAAATGGTGAGAGACTTCCCTGGTCTATGTAAGCATTATAGCGGGGAAATTATGAGCATCTTTATAATGTCTGTGTTTAGTGTTAAGTAATTGCAAGAGTAATTGTTAATGTTTTCTGACTTTTTCTTTACAGGATTCAGTGGTCCCAATTTAAAGGTTATTTTATTTTCAAACTGGAGAAAGTGATGGATGATTTCAGAACTTCAGCTCCTGAACCAAGAGGTCCTCCCAATCCAAATGTTGAATATATTCCCTTTGATGAAATGAAGGAAAGAATACTGAAAATTGTCACTGGATTTAATGGGTATGCATATAATAATATTTTAAAGATTTAACCACATAGATGTTATTTCTTTAACTTTTGCTATATCTGGTTGGTAATTGACTCATATCTCTAGTGCTTTTTGGTTTTGTTTTTTGTTGTTTCCCAAGACAGGGCTTCTCTGTGTAACAGCTCTGGCTGTCTTGGAACTCAATTTGTAGATAAGGCTGGCCTTGAGCTAAAAAATCCACCTGGCTCTGCCTCCCAAGTGCTGGGATTAGAGACCTAATACCACCACCCAGGTGTGCTTGCCAAATTTTGACTCAAATTTCCTTCCTTCCTTCCTTCCTTCCTTCCTTCCTTCCTTCCTTCCTTCCTTCCTTCCTTCCTTCCTTCCTTCCTTCCTCCCTCCCTCCCTCCCTCCCTCCCTCCCTCCCTCCCTCCCTCCCTCCCCCTCCCTCCCCCCTTTGGTCTTTTTTGTTTTGTTTTGTTTTTTTTTCAAGACAGTGCTTCTCTGTATTAATTTGGAGGCTGTCCTGGAATTCACTCTGTAGGCCAGGCTCACAGAGATCTGCCTGTCTCTGCCTCCTGAGTGCTGGGATTAGAGATGTACCCCGCCAACACCTGGCTGTTTCTTTTGTTTTTTGAGACAGGGTTTCTCTGTAGCTTTGGAGGCTGTCCTGGCACTCATTTTGTAAACCAGAATGGCTTCAAACTCAGAGATCCACTTGCTTCTGCCTCTTGAGTGCTGGGATCAAAGACATGCGCCACCACTGCCCACCTGTGCTCATAAATATTTTAAATGTTTCCAATCTTAATTGAAAAAAAAACTTGGCTGACTTTACGAGTTTCAGGGATATTCATATTTTATACATGCATTTATCAAGATAGCAACATTTGTTTATCAAGAAATATTTTAATGTTTTCTTGGTATTGTCTTGATGTGAAGACTTTATATTCAAGAGGTTTATTCATTTTAGACTTTTGACTCACCCTTTCTCCCAATAACTTAAACATTTTTAATCTTTTGTGAAACACTGAAAACACCGGGAACACTAAATGAATATGACACTAAATGTTGCTGTGCTTCTTAGTATTCATTAAATTCTGATTTAGAGCCTATAATTACTGAGGGAATGATGGGTTTGTGTAGTTAAGTTGTTGAGTATTGCATTTGGCACTAGCAGTTTGAAACGTGATAACAGCATGAAATACAGTGAATTGAGTTTCTGTTAATCAGATCTGCTTATTGGTAGGTGTTATGTGAAGAGGTTATAATAGTATGTTTTTATACCACAAATAGCCAGATTCTTTTTGGAGACTGGGGTTTGAGACAGGGTCTTCCTATGTAGCCCTGTCTTGCCTTGAATTCACAGAGATCCATTGCCTCAAAAGCATGCCATCATTCTCTGCTGCTCATTTCCATTGTAAGTTTAGTAATTTGCCTGCAATATCAGAAGCTTAAGCTCTGATATTAGGTCTATTACTAAAACTTTTTTCTGGAAGGTACCCTGTTTCCTTTTTTTATTTAACCATATGCCTGTTCATTGTAAGTTTAGTTGAGGCTCTTTAAAAGCACACATGGGAAAGAAGCCACATGTTATGTGTGTTTTATGTTGCATAAGATTTATTCTTGAGCTGGTTCTATGCAGCATAAACAGACTTCCTTTGTAGAATGTTTGTATAACACACACATATATTCTCACACAGAGTAGTACATAGACATTCCCAATGTATGAAAGTTAAAATGAATTATACCACTGCATTTTGAATATTGACCTAATTTATAAATTAGTAAGAGCAAATATTCTTAGTTAATTCTATTAGACTAGATAACAGATAAGTAGGTTATTAGATAAAGTTAAAATATTTATGATTTCTTAACCTGTTAAAACATGTATTCATCTACTTTAGATGATTTGAACAGTCATTAAATGCCTAAGCATACTTAAACATAATTGCTCTTAAGGTGTCTTTCATCTTTGAGCCATAAGTATTTTAATTCTAGTTTTCAGAATGACTGTTGGGTTATTTACTCTAATTAGTCAGACTTTAAAGTTTAATTAGTGATACATTATGAATTTTCATTTTATGTCTGCCTTTTTGGTTTTTATTTATATATTGATATGTTGAAGCATGATGGTCTTTGTTTTGATGGTTTTTAAAAAAAATATTTTTTTGCTGTCCGTTCAAAAATTTCTTAAATAATAATTTGTGTGTGCTGTGTGCCTGTGTGTGTATGCTCATTTGTGCAGTGCCTGTAGCCACCACAGAGTCTGTCATACTGTCTTAGTCCATTGATCCCTGGCCCTGGAGTTCATTGATTGGCTAGACTGGCTGGCCAGTAATCAAACCCCAGGGGGTCACTTGTCTCTGCCTCCTGCATCCATCCATCCATCCATCCATCCATCCATCCATCCTTCCTTCCTTCCTTCCTTCCTTCCTTCCTTCTTTCTTTTCTTTTCTTTTCTTTTCTTTTCTTTTCTTTTCTTTTCTTTAGGTTTTTTCCGAGACAGGGTTTCTCTGTATTGTTTTGGAGGCTGTCCTGGGACTCTCTTTGAAGACCAGGCTGGCCAGATCTGCCTGCCTCTGCCTCCCGAGTGCTGGGATCAAAGTTGTGGGCCATCACCTCCTGGCCCACATAAGCTTTTATAAGGGTGCTGGGTATTCAAATTCAGGTCTTTGTGCTCGGGCACAACAAACACTTGACCCACTTACCTCCCCAGCCCTATTTATCAGTTGAGCTCTTCCTCCTAGATAGTATTTTTCTCTCATTTTTAATAGGTTGTCTTTGATAAAAGTGATATATCTCCCCCCCAGGGAAATTTTCTTTTTTTTCTAAATTAATTTATTTTTTATTTTATGTTCATTGATGTTTGGCCTGCATATATGTCTCTGTGAGGATGCTGGATCTGCTAGAACTGGAGTTAACAGACAGCTGTGATCTGCCATATGGGTGATTGGATTTGAACTCAGGTCCTCTGGAAGAGGAGCCAGTGCTCTTAAGCACTGAGCTATCCCTCCAGCTCCCAGATGTGATATATCTTATATTCTCTTTTAAAAGATTCCCAAACACACATCACACCTATTTTTATTTTATGTGCATTGGTGTTTTGATCACATATGTATCTATGTGAGGGTGTCCAATCCCCTGGAACTGGAGTTACAGATAGTTGTGAGCTGCCATGTGGATGCTGGGAATGGAACCCAGCTCCTGGAAGAGCAGTCAGTACTCTTAACCACTAACCCATCTCAGCACCAACACATTCTTTCTTAAAAATCCAAAAAAGGCCGGGCGTTGGTGGCGCACGCCTTTAATCCCAGCACTTGGGAGGCAGAGGCAGGCGGATCTCTGTGAGTTCGAGGCCAGCCTGGTCTACCGAGCGAGTTCCAGGACAGCCTCCAAAACAATACAGAGAAACCCTGTCTCGAAAAACAAAACAAAACAAAACAAAACAAAAAAAAATCCAAAAAAGAAAGGTAAGAGCATGTCACACTCAAACAGGTTCAGGTTGTCCGTCGTCCCATTCCCTCCACCCCTCGGTCTGTCCTTCTGTCTCTGGAGATTGGAATTAACCCTTTACAAATTCTGGGCCAGCATTTTACCACTAAGCTACATCCAGTTTTTAAAATAAAATGGCATGTTTTTCATGTGTCAGTAGCCCTTTCGTTAATTGCTTTTTGTTTTCCTGGAGTTTTTGGAACTTCTTTCTTGTGTGTCTGCACCGCATGCATCATGGTGGTGACCTTGGATGTCAGGATGAGGCATCGGATCCCCAAGGACTGGAGTTACAGATGTTTGTGAGCCGCCATGTGTGTGCAATCCCAACACTGAGTAAGGTTCTCCCTTTCCCACATCCATGCCAGCATTTGTTAGTTGTTTTCTTGATCGTAACCATTCTGACTGGGGTGAGGTGAAAACTCATTGTTCTAATTTGCATTTCCCTAGTTGCTAAGGATATTGAACACATTTAAAGATATTTTTATTTCTTTTGAGAACTTTGCTAGGGGGTTGACCCATTTTTTTCCCCCGGTTTTACGAGACAGGGTTTCTCTGTATTGTTTTGGAGGCTGTCCTGGAACTCGCTCGGTAGACCAGGCTGGCCTCGAACTCACAGAGATCCGCCTGCCTCTGCCTCCCAAGTGCTGGGATTAAAGGCGTGCGCCGCCACCGCCCGGCTTGGGTTGACCCATTTTTAAATTGGGTTATTTTCTTTATTCTTTGAGTTTTTTCCCCCCATATATTTTAGATATTCTCCATCAGATGTTAGCTGACGGTAGTTCTCTCCCACTTTGAGGACTTCCTCTTTTTCACTGGATTGTTTCTTTTGCTGTATAGAGGCCTTTTAGTTTTGTGGTCCCATTTATCAATTATTGGCCTATAGACCTTGTATGCACGAGGCCATTGGTCTATTTGGAATTGATTTTTGAGCAGGGTAATAGATAATGGATCTAATTTTATTCTTTTACGTAAGTTGAAGATGTCTTTTTATTGTGTATTTTTTGGCATCTTTGTCAGTTATGGGATGACTAATTAAATGCACACGTTTGGGTCTTGTTTTCTTCCATTGATCTATATAATGTTACTGTTATTTTGGTGTTTTCTCAAGATGTCTACTTAGCTTTTTATTCAGGTTGTATCTTTGCTATACTTTGCATTGTTTGTGGGTTTTGTTTCTGGATATGTGAGGCAAATGCTGCACCTTTTCTTGTTTTTTTTGTTGTTGTTTGTTTGTTTGTTTGTTTTTCGAGACAGTTTTTCTGTATTGTTTTGGAGGCTGTCCTGGAACTCACTCTGTAGACCAGGCTGGCCTCGAACTCACCCGGCTGTGCACCTTTTCTTTTACATTCTTTGGTAGAATACTCTTCACTTGTAGGTTTGACTACTGATTGAATCAAGATAGGGCTTTTGGATTTAAATCAGAAAACATTTATTATGAACATTTCCTTTAAACATATCCTAAATCTTACACTGACAGAAGAATGCAAGAATAGTGTTTGTACTAAGAATGTGAGATTTGAGCTGGGCATTGGTGGTACATGCTTTTAATCCCAGTGGACCTCTGAGTGTAGTGGTGGCACATGTTTCTAATCCTAGAGCTGGACAGGCAGAAGAGTTTGAGGCCAGCCTGGTCTACATAAGTGAGAATTAAGTGTAGCTTATCCAATGAGAAACTACTATGATTTCTGTCAAATGTGTGTGGTACAGGGAAAAGGTCATTATTGCACACTAGTTGCATTGCTGTAGGGTAGACTATTGTATGAAAATGAAGACCCTGTCAATCTGAGGCTTTGCAGTTCTCTTTTCATAAGCCGCACAAGTAGAGTTTAATGAAAAAACACTGATATCCAAAGATGTATTTTGTGAATATATTTTCTCAGCTTTTGTGACATCTAGTACTTAAAACATTACACTTAACTGTGATTCTGATGATTGCTAATAATCTTGTGAGCTCAAACTCTTCAAAATTTTATTTATTTTTATATGTATGGTTGTTTTGCCTGCATTTATGTCTTTATGTACCTCCTGTGTGCCTTGTTCCAAGGAGACCAGATGATACTGGGTCCTGGGATTAGAGTTGCAGAAACTGTGGTCTACTGTGTTATTATGGGTCCTAGGTTCAAACCTGAGTCTTCTGCTGAGCCATCTTTCTGGTTTCCTCAAAACTCTGTAAAATGAATATTGTACCAAGACTTTCAGTCTTTGTAATTTGCTGTGATTAAGGGAAAACTACATTCTGATAAAAGAATTTGGTATAGTTAACCCCAAAATTTTTACCAAAATATAAAATTTGACTAAATTTATAGATTATATTTAAAAAGTTGTAGTAATGGAGCAGAGTTATATTTAAAATACTTTTATATTAGACTAATTTGTTATACTTTATCCAGTAACAAAATGGTTTATGGTGTTCAGTAATATGTTTGAGTGCAAAAGCATGCCTGAGAAAGTATTGTTTATAATTAATCTGACAGTTATTTGTGTTATCTTTCTTGTAAAGTTCAAACCGAGTGGTCAGAATTTAGAATATTGCAAAAAATGTTTTTGGAATGAGTTTTGACACATTGTTTTCAGTGGTCCTTTATAGTTATGTGAGTCTTGCCTTCATTCTCTGTTGCTTAACACATGGGGGCTCCACAAAGCTGTCATTGTGAACCAATGCTCTAGTTTCTTACACTTAAAACTGTAAACTATACAATTATTCTTTTGCAGTATCCCTTTTACTATTCAACGACTGTGTGAATTGCTAACAGATCCAAGAAGAAATTATACAGGAACAGACAAATTTCTCAGAGGAGTAGAAAAGGTATGTATGTTTTCTGTCACAAGAATTAAAGTGAAACCTAATAGGTCCCAAAAAAGGTAATGGCAAGAGTTGTTTCATAGCTATTTACTGAATTATTTTATTTTCTAAATTGCATTCCATGTTTCAGAGAAATTTATAGCAAAGGGAGAAAAAAGGCCCACGAGGTCCCAGGCAGCCATTATTCTGAGGAAAGCTGCTTGTTCAATTTAATTTTTCTTTTAAATGTTATTTGTTTTTGGTTTTCTTTGTGAGACAGGGTTTCTCTGTGTAACCCTGGCTGGCCTGGAACTTACTCTGTAGACCAGACTGGCCTCAAACCTAGAGTTCTGCCTCTCGAGCGCTGGGATTAAAGGCCTCGCCACCAACTCCTGGCTCTATAAGGGAAACTTAAAAGTGCTCTTCTAACTATTCCAAAGGAGGGGCCTTTGTCTCCTTGGGTTGAATATTGCTTTATAGATAAGGAAGTTCATCACACTTGGATTAAATATCTGAATTAAATAGTTTTAGAAGAGAAACTGGGGATTTGGCTCACACAGGCCATCACAGTTTTTGGGGGGTTGCCACACCAGTGTGAGGACTAGAGTTGGGATCCAGTGTAAGTGCCGATGGATGTGCTGGCCTGCTTGTAATGAATTCCAGCTTTAAAAGGTAGTGACAGAGTCCATAGAGCCTGGCTATCGAGCTGTTGGTTTAATTGAGAGGTCTTGTCTTGTTGAATGAGGTGGAAGAATGTCCAGGTCCTTCATGTGTAAGTGCACATGCATAGGAAAATGGAAAATAAATTGGACTCTAGTTCTGTATACATTACACATTGTCTTGAGGTTTTTTTTTTTAAAGCACTGGTAAGAAGAAACTAAAAAATGAACCAATATTCTCACCTACATTATAGCTTAGTGAGTTTCCAGGAATCATAATGCTATTTATCTGTTTTTAAATTATTGGAATTGTTCTTTCTGTGAGAAATGAAAATATTTCAATCACCTGTGGTAGTGTACAAACCTTTAATCCCAGTATCTGGAAGCCAGAGGCAAGTCCATTTCTTGAATTCTTGGCCAGTGTGGTCTGCGCAGTGAATTCCAGGCCAACCAGGGGAGTGGGGGTGGGTAGTAGGGATCATACCCTATGAGATGACTCAGCACATCATAGTACCTATTACCCAGGCCAATCCTGATAACCTGTGTGATGGAGAGTATCCAATATAAATAGTAAAGCAAGCCATATTTTTTTTGGGGGGGGGTGTTGTTTTGTTTTTGACCAGTTGCTTTCAGTTGTAATAGAAGGAGGCTTATCTCAAAGGAGTTGTTAAAACATTTGTGTTACTGTGCTTTTCTTTCACTCATTGAATCACTATTTTTTGCTATTTCAGAATGTGATGGTTGTTAGCTGTGTTTGTCCTTCTTCAGAGTAAGTATATTTTTCCTGCTTTTTGATATTAATTGCTATATTCTAATTGTTTTAATACATTGCTATAGTATTATACATTTTTTTATGTAAATACGTCTATACATGTGAAATCTACCACCTGGTCCTTGAGGTGTGGAATGTTGCCAAAATACTGCTCAAGTATTCCCAGTAGAGACATTTGTACTAAAGACACGGAGACTGGTTAATTACTATACTTCTGGCCACCTAGATGTTTTTTCTAGGGGTGGCACGTAGGTTTGGAATAAGATATTTCATGGTATTCTTCATGATGGACAAGTATTATACTAGTCAGGATTACTATACCAAATTAAGGACTTGGATCCAGACATCTGTTCAGCCGTGGCACCATTAGTATTTAGGTCACATGTATAATTCATTGTCGGTGGATGTCCTGGAGCTGGCAAATGGACACACATATAGAGAGGAGAGGAGAGGAGACTGAGTACCCTGGGACGTGTGAAGATGGGGAAAGAGATCTATTGGCTTACTCTTCAGTGTCACTGATTTCCGTTTGTTTTGCTTTTTTTGGTGAATATGAAGTCATCTGAAGAACATTCCAAGATGTTCGAAAGCAAGTGTCATTGACTAATAGTTTTTTTTTTAACATACGTGTGTGTCTGTTTGCCTGTCTGTCTGTCTGATTTTGACAATCCTGTTACAAAATGGTTTTTAAGACCCACATTTTCCCTATTTTTTTTTTTTTTTTTGAGACAGGGTTTCTCTGTGGCTTTGGAGGCTGTCTTGGAACTCGCTTGGTAGTCCAGGCTGGTCTCGAACTCACAGAGATCCGCCTGCCTCTGCCTCCCGAGTGCTGGGATTAAAGGCGTGCGCCACCACCGCCCGGCTCATTTTCCCTATTTTTAATGTGTTTATTTTGCTTCTTGTGTGTGTTTTGGCCTGCTTGTATATGTACCTTGTGCGTGCCATAGGGTTCAGAAGGGGCCATCAGCTCTTCTGAAATTGGAATTAAGGATGTTTGAGCCACTGTGTGGGTGCTGGGAACAGAACCCAGGTCCTCTGGAAGTGCAGCCTGTGCATTGAGCCATGTTTCCCATCCTACAACCAAATTATTTACCAAAATTAAAGAAGTGAGCCATTCATAACCCCTCCCTCTGCTTCTTCCTTTTTGCTCTATTTCTTTTGTTTTGGGACAGGATCTTACTCTGCCCTGGCTGGCCTTGAACTCACAGAGCTTTACTTGCCCCTGCCTCCCCAGTGTTGGAATTTAAAGTCATGTGCCATCATGCCCATCTGAAGTATTTTCTTTTATTACAGGAAGAGCAGTTCTAATAGTTTAAATCGAATGAATGGTGTTATGTTTCCTGGAAACTCAGCAAACTATACTGACAGGTAAGAATTTATTTTTTTTTAACTATCCAGAATGTCCAAGTTTTCTAGTAGTGTTTGAGTTAGCAGGTTCAGTATACTCCTTTTTATTGGACATTTTATAGGGAAGATACAAGATCTGCGTTGTAGGTTATACCAGGCTACATTTACTAATTATGGCATCTGAAAGTATTCTTTGGAATTTTTTCTAAAAGTGGAAAATAATGATCATTTATCTCATTATAGGTCTAATATAAATGGGCCTGGAACACCCAGGCCACTTAATCGACCAAAACTTTCTTTGTCAGCCCCCTTGACAACAAATGGTTTGCCTGAGAGCACAGATAACAAAGAGTCAGAACTGCAGCCAAGTCAAGAGAAGGCCCACAGGTGTGTGTGTTTTCTATTTACAGAGAGACGTGCATAGAGATTTAATGTCTGTTAATATCTATTCATAAGTACATGGACTGTCTGTATTTGTGAACCGTCTCTGGGTTTGGTAGATTCAACTGGTAAAGAATCAAAATCAAAAGTAATTAGGAAAAAAATTGCTTCTGTATTGGCTAGGTATAGACTTTGTCCCCTGTGCCAATAGTGTTTACTTGGATTAGGTATTCTGTCACCTAGCAGTGATTTAAACTATAAGGGAGGCTCTGTGAAAATACCGTGCCTTTTATGTATGGACTTTGAGGTCTTCAGAGTTTGATCCTGGAACTTCCATGGGTTCTGTTGGGTGACCAGTTTACTGTTTGTTCTGAGGGATAGAATAGGCCTTAATGTGGCTGCCTGAGCTATGAATTCAGTGTCAGTGCAGCTGGAGGTGAATGTAGACAAGATTTCTAGAATTTCCCAGAAAGGTAGAACTAGCAAGTCAGTTTCAACGGAACATCCATGAGATGTTTCAGACTGCTTTGTGATTGTTCTCCTGTGTTTTTCTCAGCACCAATAGTTGTATTTAATTGGACAGTGCAGTTTGTTGAGTATTTCATCTTACAGATGAGCATGTAGAGTATGAGGAAAATAATCTTATTAGTAACACTTTAAAAACCGTTGGCAGTGACTCTCCAGCATCTGAACCAGAAGTTTCCTCACTGAGCCCTGTTAAAAATAAACATCCAGATGAAGATACTGTGGAGGCTGAGGAGCATGAGGTGAAAAGACTGCGCTTTGATAAAGAAGACGAAGTCCGAGAGACAGCTAGCCAAACGGTGTCCAGTGAAGGTTCAGTTAGAGCAGAGGAAGCTGAAGCAGCACCTTCCCCTCCAGAGAAGGACAGAGACAGTCGCAACAGGCAGCACTGTACAGAAGAGGAGGAGGAGGAGGAGGAGGAGGAAGAGGAAGAGGAGGAAGAAGGTGAGAGGAGGTCCCCGTGGTGTGTGTACATGCAGCCATGCTCCTCACCGTGCTGGTATTGGGCTTTTGTCCTACCTGAGTGTGGCTGCTGAGTTTGAGTGGATACGAACTGTAGATAACAGTGCATGAAACTTAATTGGATATATTTGAAAAATAAAATTTAATTACAACATTTGCTTATTTCTAGAATCTTTTATGACTCCTAGAGAAATGGTTCCAGAGAGGAAAAATCAAGAAAAAGAATCTGATGACGCCTTAGCTGTGAATGAGGAATCTTCAGAGGAGGGTACTCACGTGGAGGACTCTGGTGGGTCTCCAGCTCAGAGAGACCCTCACTCGGAACTGAGTGACATTGCAGGGGCTGTGAGTAGTGGTTCTGAGTGCCCTGAGACAGAAGAGCCAGGAGGGACCACTTCCAGGAAAACGGGAGAAAGTGTCTCCGTGTCATCCATGGAAAATGATGAAACCACAGACGTGACAGATGAACCAATGGAACAAGACTTAACTACTTAGAAACATTTAGAGGCAGTATTTTACATACAGTTCTGGTTTTACACTGCATAAAACTTTCAAGTAATAAAGCGGACCTTTAGTTTTACAAGAGAAACAGGCTGCAAAATAAAGAAACTTAAGAATAAACCCTGAAAGAGTTTTGCATCAGAGAGCTGTGAATACTGGCTCCTCTGGGTCCTGCTTATTGCTGATTTTTTTGTTTTGTTTGGGTTTTTGTTTATTTTTTTCCTGGTGTACTCAAATCAGTGGTTTGTGTATAGATTTTTTTTTTAAATTTTAGAATTAAAGTTTTTAAACTGGAAGAGAATTATAATTTTGAAAACTTTTTAAAGATGATCACATTTGGTTTATACATACACAAGGAAGATTTTTGTCTTGTCTCTAGCGGTTTCCATATTTCAGTCATAGTTTGAACATGTTAACATGTGAACTAAATAGGGTTTCATGTGGTTTCAGATTTTATTGTTCAACTGTACAATGGAACTTTAAGTCATATATACATATATAGATTATTCTAAGGGGGATGTTATATTTTTCTGTTTCTATAAGAGATGACTACAATGGATACTTTTTTATTGGGAATGACTGAGTTCACTTCCTTCAGAAGACACTTTGTTTCTCTTCTGAGTAATTGAGATAAAATCTGGCCCTGGAAAACCCTGGGAATCCTTAAGTCTGTTCAAATACCAGGTTAAACACATTCCAAGAGATATGTGCAAACTAAAATTCTTTTGTATACTTCTAAGGTGCCTGAGGGGAAAAAAAGACTTCATTATTTATGAGAAAATGTGCTTTATCTTGGGAGTTGCGCAGGAGCATTAACTCACTGTTTGGTAGAGTGAAGTGCTTAGGAGGCTGACAGGAAACCATCTCAGAAGAGCCCGCAGGTTCCCTGACGTTTCACTTGCTTTTCTGAACATTGTCAGCATCGTACCTTTCTTTCTGAATGAATCACCCTGTATGCACATGGCGGCACTGTGTGAAACAGCGTTGTACTGGAAGGATTAGTAGGTTGCTTCAGTAATGTACCTGAGCTAAAACCACTCAAGCTTTAGGGGTACACAGACCACCATGATTTGTACATTTTGAAGTGAATTAATATTTTTGAACATGCTTCTTAGACAGCCAGTGTTAACATTTTTCAGATCAACACAAAGCACAATGGTTATTACTCTAAATATTTTCAGATTCACATATTTAAAGTCATGCAAGCTGCAACTTCCCTGTTAAAATTACTGGCTGCCAAATTTATACCTGTTTCTTCGCTGTACCTTTTGATATTTAGAATTTTTAAATTTCTGTAAAGTAGATTTTGTAGACTGTAATGTGTTCACTGCCTTTGTGAAGCGGTATAATTGTATAATTTCGTGTGTAAACTGAATGCTTGGGCTTTCAATACAGTATTCATATAAAGCAATAAATATTAATGTTATGAAATATTCGAGTACATTTTTATCAAAATACAAAAGAATCCCCTTTTTAGTTTCAGACCCCTGAGGTACGCAGATGGACTTATAGTAGGTGATACAGACAGCATCTCACTGTATCATAAGCTTTGGGGGATTTGGAGGAAACTACTTAATTACTATGACTAAAAATACAATATTTGGCTCCGTTTGTTCATAGAGTAATGTACTACTGACTGACGACCTTCAGGTTCACAGCAGCTAGACAATATATTTATGGGTCTTTCGAATAAAATTGAATTTTGATTTACTGCACTCAAGACGGGTGAAAAATCAGATGTAATTTTTTTAAAAATTGGCAAAATGTTAAAACGAAGCAAAATTTGGATGTGAAATTCATATGTAGTGACCTGTTACTCTATTTTGTTGAGGGATTGATAGTGAGAGCAGGTTTTAAACATTGTAGGTTTAGAAACAGATCCTTAGGGTATTTATGAGATTGTTTTCAACAAGCCTGTTCCTTAAGCTCCTGTGACCTTTGATAGTCTTTATTTGTGGTGCCATGGACCATTTGTAAACAAATCAGTTTGCTGCTGGTTAAAAGTTGAAGATTTAGCATCATGAATGGTGGTCTGTGGTTTCATTTGTGAACTTGCAATTGCTATCTTTGCAAGGAGAAATGTATTTCTTTATTAAATAAAGTACAATAATGGTGAATGTACCAAAATGACATCACTCAATTCTATGAGAGGTCTGCATTTTAATCTGTAGTTTAATAGTTTTAATATTTATTAGCTATTCCTATGTTGATCATAGATGAAAGTTTGTGCTGTTTATACAGATACATGTAGGATACTGGTGGAAGGTTTCTAGGGCAGCTACAATACTCATTGCATTGTTAAACCGTGTTCAACAGGCTGTAGATGCATTGTCCCCTTGGAAGCTCATTTCCACAATATTGTTAGATGCACTTACCCACAGACATTGTGCAAAGAAAGCATTTCTAACATGAATGGAGTAATTTATAAGGTTTAAAAGGCAAGTTTTAGGCACATTTCCTTAATGTACCCAGCAGAGTTCTATGAGAAGATCGAGGAGAATCAAGACTTTGATGACTGAAGTAGCTGGCCCTCTGATTCTTACCGGTTTGTCCATTCCCAGCCCTGACATGTAATAGGGTGGTGCCGATGAGAAAACAGTATACTTGGGATTTGTTTTTGCCATTTCCCCCTTTTAAAACGGGAATGTGGCAGATCAGAAACGAATAGTGAAAATATGTTTTGAGTGTTTATTAAATTTAATTCACTTACTGTTTGTCACAACTCCAGCCTTTCCCATGCGTTGTCAGAGCATTTGGAGTTAGTCAGGGAGCTGTAACTTTTGGCTTTGGAAAGCCATCCCAGAAGTCTTAGGTTGGAAAGTCTGGCCGGTCTGTTAGAGCATTGAGGTCACAGTGTTTTATTTTGGCAGTGTAGATAGGCATGTATTTATGCATTTGTAAAATCAATTTTTCAAATAATGTATGTAATGTACTAGTTTACTTAACGGTACTTGGGCAGAGCCTAAAGCTGCTGCAATGTTTGAATGTGAACTGCAATGAGAGGACGGGAAATGTACTGCAGAGCCAAAGCAAATTATTTTGAGTAGTGTTTCAAATTATCTTCCGAGCAGGAGTTTCTTACAAAATGAAGGACAGTTCTTGAGTTTTGTGCTAATCATAAGATGAATGGATGCAAAAAAAAAAACCACCTTGTAATTTCATATGGAATTATGAAAATTAGCTTGACTGGGTTGTTGGCCTAACAAGGATGCTAGTATGTATTGGCTAGAATACATATATTCACATTTAAAAAATAATCCGGACACCAGAATTCTCCTTTATTTCAACCTGGAGCCTAGATCATTTTGCCAAATAAATGTATTTTCATAATGCAATAAAATGTAAAATAGAAGAATGTCTTCATGTGTGGAATTACTTTATTTGCTATTTTAGCACACCTGCCTCTCCCCATTTTCCCTCAGTTGAGGGTCAGCAGGGAGGAAAGTTAATGCTTGACTTGAGTGAGGGTGCCAACAGGGAGAATGCAGAGTTGGGGATCTTGCTAGGTGTGTATAGATTCTGTTGGCATGACTTGGTGTTAGTTTACATGCCTTGATACATGTGTTGGTAATCATTTGAGAAACCCCACCTTGAGGCACCTGCGTGGTAAGTGTCTGGATAGGGGTGTACAGTTCTTTGTGGCTTTACATAAGTGCTACAGGTAAGATGCGTGATACTAAAGGCTTAGCTGCTAAGTGATGCAGCCAGTACAGAATCGAGGGCTAATAGCTGAAGTGGAGTAGAGTGTACTAGCAGGAACCGGATGTCTCTGGCTCCTTTCCTGTGTAAGGTGAAGATAGTGAAACAGGCCTTAGCTTTAGAGTTTATGGTCTTTGGGTTCACTTCTGAGTAGTGAGGTCTAAATATTTTATGAGTGTTTTATTTTTAAATTTAACCCTGGGTTTGAGTTTCAGCACCCACCTGGTGGTTGTAACTGCATTCCCAGGGGCACTGATTTCTTCTTCTGGCCTTGGGTTTTGCAAACATGCGGTAGACAAACATGCATGAACGCAAAACATCTATACACACAAAAATGCAATTAGAAATGAGATATTCCAACCTTTGGCGACGAGGTCTGGAAAGCCTGCCCTGCCAAGCCTGTCGTGTGTGCTGTGGTCCCCCTCATCCTCCAGTTTCTGAGTAGTATACATCCCCAAGTGGGGAAAGATCATTTACACCAAGTAGTAGCACAGATAAATGAGGTTGCTGTCTCTGTCTCCCTGTTCTTGTTTTCCATATCCCTCAGTGTCACCCCTCCCCTCCAGCCAGTGGAGCCCAGCACAAGTTTTGATCCCTTGGGTTTGACTCCTGCCACTTGTTGCCATGGTAATCCCCAAACCAGAGGGCAACCTGCTAGGGAGCACAGCAGGCTCCGGCAGGTGTCAGTTGCTCATGAGGTCAGGCCCCAGTACTGTCCTGTGTCCTCAGAGTTGTACCTTTGCAAACACAAGGTACTCACATAGTGAATGACTCACATAGTGAGATCCCCCCCCCCATTTACCGAGCAGATCTTTGTGAAACTTCTGAATTGGTACCCCAAATACTGCCTCCCCCATCATTTCAAGCTGCCATTTAGCTTCTTCATATACACATGAACCATGACTTAGTGTCCTGTAAGTGGCTTTGTGGGTTTCAGCTTGCCAGTCCCCTCCCTCATTGCCTGGAAAACTGAACAAGTCATTCAACTTTATTACTTAAATAATGGTTAGAGGAGGCGTGATACTTGTCCCGGGGGTCTGTGGTGGAGGGAGCGAGGGAAGGACTGAATGGTAAACCCATGGTATATTTCAAATCATCAATATTTGAGAGTAAAGTATATGTCTTAGTTTACTTCTCTACACCTGTCAAAAGTAGCTTGTGGGGCCGGGCGTTGGTGGCGCACACCTTTAATCCCAGCACTCGAGAGGCAGAGGCAGGCGGCGGATCTCTGTGAGTTCCAATCAGCCTGGTCTACAGAGTGAGTTCCAGGACAGCCTCCAAAACAATACAGAGAAACCCTGTCTCGGAAACAAAAAACAGAAACAAGAAAAGCAGCTTGTGGGAGGGGAGGGTTTCCTGTTTGCAGGTTACAGCCCACCATCGAGGGAAGCCAAGTCAGGAACTGAAGCAGAGACCAGGAAGGGGCACTGCCCACTGGCTCCCCCAGCCCCAGCCTGTTCAGCTAACTTTCTTACACAGCTTGGGCCCAACTGCCTAGGGTTGACACTGCCCACAGCCGACTGGGCCTCCTACAGCAATTAGCAATTGTTAGAAATGCTCCACAGATCTGTTCACAGGCCAGCAGTGGAGGTAGTCCTTGAGTTATGGGTTCTTCTCAGGTATGCCAAGTTGGGAAGACTAGCCATCACAGAAAGAGGAGAAGCTGTCTGCCGAAGATGGTCACTTACCTTCATGATACTCTTTCCAACACCTCCTGCTCATCTGGGAGAACCAGCAAGTGTGAGACACACTCATTTGTTCATAACTACACATTGAGGGGCTTATGATATGGCCGCCCCCCTCCGGGATGCTGCGGTTCCTGGAAGCTGGAGGAGATCAAATACATGTGAAATGGCTGAAAGTGCTCGAACCTCATTGGCAGGGCAGCGCAGATAGGGAGGGTGTCCTTCCGCAAGATGCTTCTGTATTGCTATACAAGCAGTGTGTGATCGTCCTCCACCGAGGGGCGTGGCTTCTAAGAAACAAAACAAAACAAAAGCCCAGAGAAACATAAGCTTATTTATAAATAACACCATGACATTCTGTTTGAGAGACAGCTGAACGAGAACCAGCTGCAAGGGGCCATGAGCTGAAGGGGGTGTGGGGCGGGCAGGTCCAGGGCTCCAGGCTCTAGTGCAATTGATGGAGTCTTGCTGGCTAAAGTGTGGCCGAAAACCACAGGGAACAAGAGAGTTTATTCTGGAGCCATTTCGAGTGGACCATGACCCTGTGAACACAGATTTTAGATTACCCCAAATTCCATGTCCCAACATGGAAGCAATCTCATGAGGTTTATAGTTGTATAGAAAGTCTTAAGGCAAGGCAAGTTTAACTACATTGGTGAGAACACGAGAGAGGTAGATACAGCACAATGAAGCATTAGTCTAATTAATCTTAATTTAAAAAGTCGGGAGTCAAATATTGGGGTAAGAATGTGAAGAGCCGAGAACCAGGAAAAATCATTTTCCTGCCAGTGTCCCAGACCAAGCTAGCGCATAGACGGAGTAGACGCACGGCCTCGTGGTGCCCCCTTGCGGTCATGAGCTTATCTGCAAGCGGGTGGTGGCGGTTTTTTCTGAAAGAAAAAAAAAGGAAGAGGGAGAGACAGAGAAGAAAAGGCACCACGTCCTGCATATGCTTTGAGTCAGCACGTTTTAAGATGTGGCAGTCCCATCAAAACAATAAATTCATCAAACTTTAAAGTAACCGCTGCGTAAAATGGGGACTCATTCTTCAGCGTTCTTCAGCTGCCTGACACTGAGAGCTGCCAAAACATTTTGAATGGCCACAAGGAGCCTGGGAAGGGAAGGGAAGCTGGGTGAGTCACGTGCACGTGTGTGAGAGCTACAGTCTGGACCCAGGAAGCCAGAGGAGAGGTGGAGACGCATGCGCACGGGGCCTGGCGTTGGAAGCTGAGCTCCCTGCAAGTTTTTTTTTTTTTTTTTTTTTTTTTTTTCGAGACAGGGTTTCTCTGTGGCTTTGGAGGCTGTCCTGGAACTCCCTTGGTAGTCCAGGTTGGTCTCGAACTCACAGAGATCCGCCTGCCTCTGCCTCCCGAGTGCTGGGATTAAAGGCGTGCGCCACCAACGCCCGGCTGTCCCTGCAAGTTTTACAAAACTCGGGTTCCTTCACTGGTTCATCTACGCACATGTGCACAAGGCATCAGTTGTCACAGGGACCGGGTTTCAAAGGTAGAGGGACACAAGTAGGCAAAACGCGCAGAATAATGACAGTTTCAGAAGGGAACGCGCTGAGGAGAGGATAGGGCACACTGAGGTGGGGATGATGGGTGGAGTTACTGATGGGTAGATTGGAGAGGTCTCCACCGCAGAGGTGGCTCCGTTCAAACCCCTGCAGATGGACCACGGGGGAAGAACGAATCAAGGTGACCCCATGTTTTTGCTGTTGCTTTGGGTCTCATGTAGCCCAGGATGACTTCGAACTGGCTATGTAGTCTAGGATGAATCCAAACTCCTTAATCTCTCTCTTTCCCAAGTGCTGAGGTTACAGGTATGTGGCAGCATGTCTGGTTTATCCAGAGCAGGAGAGTGGATTCAGGGCTCCCTGCGTGCTGGACAAGCTCTCAACCAGCCGTGACTGTAACTAAGACTTACATAAATTAAGAAAAAAATTATGCATACGAGTGTTTGCCTGCATTTACGTATATGTACTCTGTTCGTGTCTGGTTCCTGAGGAGGCCAGAAAAGGGTATTTTATCCCCTGGAACTGGAGTTATAAACAGTTGTAAGCAACCTTGTGGGAACCAAACCCAGCTCCTCTGCAAGAGTAGTAAGTGCTCCTAACCACTGAGCCATCTCTCCAGCCCTCACCCAAGGGTTTTGACTTGAACAACTGAACATCGGGATGCAAAGGACTTTAAGTGAGGCCGCCTTAAAAAAAAAAAAAAGGAAAGAAAACTAGACATTGAGTGTAGGGAGGTGAAGATAGAGTATGAATCTTGGAAAAGTTGGGGGAAGAGAGGTGAACTTGATCAAAATAACATAGGGGCTGGAGAGATGGCTCAGTGGTTTAAGAGAGAGGGAATCGGGTTCAGTTACCAGTACCCACAGGGTGGCTCACAATCACCTATAACTCTAGCTCCGAGGGATCTGACGCCCTCCTGTGGCCTCCCCTGGCACTGCCTGCATACGGTGCACAGGCATTAATGAAGACAAAACACCCATACATATAAATTAACAACAAACAAATCTTCAAAAACACACTGTATGCAATTCTCAAAGAATTAATTAAGATATTTAAAACTCCTTATCTAGATGGAATTTGAATTCCCCGCAGTGTTCAGGTGAGAGAACGTGAGGGTGTGTCAGTCAGGTCACCGTCGCTGTGCTGTGTGAGGGAAAAGCAGGCACGGATGAACCTGTGCCGTGGCTGCCTGGCGTTTCCTGAGGCTCTGGGGATGAGTTTTCCCTGCCAGCTGTGCCCGTCTGCCTCAGGATTTCTCACAGTCTCGGCACCTGCGCGCAGAGGCGGCTTCCCAGGAGTCCGAGCTGCAGACCATGGGGGAAACAGCTCCTGTCCAGGTTCCTTTGGCCATGGGTTCCACATAAATCTGCTCGTGACTGTCCCCACAGTGGCAGAGCAGGCTTTGCCAACGAAGTGGCACCTTCAGGGATTTCACTCTTGGCAGGTGGA